CTGGCAGCGCTGGGTGGGCGCCCGCAGCCTGGCCTTGGAGTCCTGCCCCCGCTTCACCATCACACCCCCATCACTTCTTGAAAATATATTTTTATTGATTTCAGAGAGGGAGAGAGCCCCTAGTGGCAGCGCTGGGTGGGCGCCCTGCAGCCTGGCCTTGGAGTCCTGCCCCCACCTCATCATCACACCCCCATCACTTTTTTTTGGAAAATCTATTTTTATTGATTTCAGAGAGGGAGAGGGAGAGGGAGAGATAGAAACATCAATGATGAGAGAATCATTGATCAGCTGCCTCCTGCACGCCCCACACTGGGGATCAAGCCTGCAGCCCGGGCATGTGCCCTGACCGGGAATCGAACCCCGACCTCCTAGTTCATAGGTCGATGCTCAACCACTGAGCCCCATCTCTTCATGGTCAGGATCAGTGGGTCTCTCGGCCTCGGCTTTGGAAATTGTGTTGCCGTTATTACGGGCGTTTGTCATGACTCTCTGTGTAAGTGATTGAGAGCTGCCTGGGTGAGAAGCCCTGTGGCCACAGATCCAGCCCCACAGCTGCTCCAGCAAAAGAAGACATTCAGGGGCGGGGAGTCCCCAGGGCCTCCTAACGATCCCAAAGCGAACTCCCACATGGGCAGCGAGCCCTTAGCCCTGCCTGTGCTGTGGGTAACAGAGCTAACAGAGTGGCAGGAATCGCATTCTTCAACTTGCATCATGGTGGGGTGCTGGCCGGGCAGCTGGGGTGCCAAGGGGGCGGGCAGGCCTGAGAGCCGACTCTTGCGTGCTCTGGAGCTGATGTCAAAATGTTGAAATCTTCCTCCGCCCGCTGCCAGGCTGCTGCCTGAGTCACGGGAGGAGCTGATGTCAAAATGTTGAAATCTCCCTCCGCCCGCTGCCAGGCTGCTGCCTGAGTCACGGGAGGTCCCCGGAGCCCCCAACTGTCCAGTGATTCCAGGGCCCGCCTGGCACAGGGGGCGGCCGCCGGGACCCTGTTCCCCAGTCCCTTCTGAGTGGTGGGTACCGGGCGGATATTCACACACGTTTGCGCCGCTGGGTCAAGAGCCGCTGCCCGGGTTGCTCAAGCGTCCTGGTGCCACCAGGGGCCGGGGGCCTGGAGATGGTGCCCCCTGACTTCTGGCGCCCTCTCCCCGCCCCCACAGGAGCTGCTGATGGCTCACGACTTCACCAAGTTCCACTCCCTGAAGCCGAAGCTGCTGGAGACTCTGGACGAGCTGCTGACCCACGACATCGCCAAGCTCATGCCTCTGCTGCGGCAGGAGGAGCTGGAGAGCACCGAGGTGGGCGTGCAGGGCGGCGCCTTCGAGGGCACCCACATGGGCCCGTTCGTGGAGCGGGGGCCCGACGAGGCCCTGGAGAACGGCGAGGAGGGCTCGGACGACGACGAGGCTGAGTGGGTGGTGACCAAGGACAAGTCCAAATACGACGAGATCTTCTACAACCTGGCGCCGGCCGACGGCAAGCTGAGCGGCACCAAGGCCAAGACCTGGATGGTGGGCACCAAGCTCCCCAACTCAGTGCTGGGCCGCATCTGGAAGCTGAGCGACGTCGACCGGGACGGCATGCTGGACGACGAGGAGTTCGCCCTGGCCAGCCACCTCATCGAGGCCAAGCTCGAGGGCCACGGGCTGCCCACCAACCTGCCCCGGCGCCTCGTGCCGCCCTCCAAGCGGCGCCACAAGGGCTCCGCCGAGTGAGCCCGCGCGGCCGGCGGGGCCTCCCTCCCCCCTGCCCTGCTGTGGCTCCCAGCTTCCGTCAGCTGCACACACATCCCTACCCTGGCCACCTGCACTGCCTGCCACCTGCCCAGCTGCAAGGATGGGGGCCTCTCTACCCCCCACCGCCAGACAGAGGGGACCAGGGGGGGGCAGACTTCTCCGCTCGCCCTTCCCACCTCCACCCGCACGTCCATTTAGGCACACCACACCCACACTAACACACAGAGGCGTCCAGCCGGGCGTCCCTCGTTCAAGTATTTATTGAGCACCTACTGCGCTCTGTGTCCGGGGCTCGTTCTGGGCACCGGGGATTCCAGCAGAGAGCGGAAGAGACACGGATGCGTGCCCTCCTGGAGCTGACCCTCCCGGAGAGCACCTACCTGTCACTCACACACACACAGACACACACCGGCCCGAACCAGTCCCGTCCTGCATTCTGGCCCGGACCCCTCGCCTCTCCCCATAGAAGAGCAGCCACTTGGTTGAAATGACTAATAGACAGGCCCCTGCCCCCCTTCCTCTTGCCCATCCAGGCAAGGTGCCCCCCCCCCATGTCCT